GGCGCGACGGCAAATTCGATTAGGCGTTAATCGGAATTACCGTTGCGTATCGCGGCGAGTCCCCGCCTCGCGATATAATCCTTTTTAGCATGGCACGCGAAACGATCGTCTCCCCCCTCCCTAATAGAAATTTCACGCTGGAAAGTAGTGATTATTTGTTTTTACTACGTTTCAGTATTAATACAATAAAATAATGCGGATTAGAGCCAACACAGGATGTCAATGTGAAATTTAACTTATTTAGAATAATTTCAATCACAATCGTAAACGTTTCGATCCAATTTCGGATTCTTATCATTGCTCTTACTTAAATTATAATTAGTCAGCTAGGCGTAGTGATGTGACAACGATGTCATTGCACTTCCTGGTAACAGGTTGTACTTCCTACACTGTACAGCAATTTATCGAATCGTTATATAATTATAATAGAATAACAATCGAACTTTTTTTCATAACTTACTATGATCGTCGAAATGTTTTTAAGTTGTTGATATATCGAGCGTTGATTCTCATCTGACGAGACAAACAATAAAAGACACTCGGTATAAAAATATAAATTATAGAAAAGTATTACATTGTTTCAGTGTTAAATTGTTGCTTAAAGAAGCTACGCGGTTTGCGGCTTATTCCCGTGTATACATCGTTAATTGTCAACGTTTCAAGCAATGCAATTCACTCTTAAGACATTCTGAAATTTAAAAAGTTAAATAAAAAGAGTATGCCAGGCAAACGAGAGTCAGGCGCAGTTAGTGGGACGCAATTAAAATCTATAATTATCAATTGTACTCAATTATAAACATTTCGGCTCACTTTTGATCAACATTAATGCCCGTTTCTACCAATGTAGTTTAATTTTAATCTTGGTTCAATAAACTCTTCGTCTTTATCTAGTTCTAAGAATTAGAAAAAGATGAATAGTTAAAAGTTGAAGATTAAAGTTAATCTACATTGGGGTAGAAACGGGCATAAATTGGATCTTTGTAGAGGCCTTAATCGATAGCCGCCCTCGACCGTGTATATCTCGCGGAAACGTGAGGGATAATAAGAAATCGTGAAAAAATGATGGAAAAATGAGAGAGAGAGAGAGAGAGAGAGAATGAGTGGTCGACAGGTGTTGACGCTCGGTCACGCGGATTGACACAATTTTGACAAGCGACCTTAGGTCACGTCCGTACCGTTGCCGATGTGGCCGACGTGACAGGAGTACAGTCGTACGGAAATCTGATTTTTCGGAAATCCTGGCTGGCAGAGATCCGTCTCTTCCCCGTGTCCACGCGTCGTCCGTCTCGGAAAAGTGGTTAGAGCTCCTCTCGCACGAACACGCCCCGACACACCGCGCATGGAAAATCGAGCTCAATCGGGCGACGCACGGCCGTTCACGCGTGAGCGACCGAGAGATAGTCGTCGTCGTCGGCGACGACGACGATATTCGGGATCGCGTAGGACAACGTCGCGTTTCACGCTTGTGTCCGTTTCGTGGAGGCTAAACTGTTTCGCGGGTGCGCCTTCTCTCTCTCTCTCTCTCTCTCTCTCTTTTTCCGCATTGCCTACCTGCGATACTCTCCCTCTCCCCCTGCTGCTGATCATGATATGCGCGGATGACTTCATTCCACGCGTATAGAAAGTGCAGGAAGGTGCATTTAGAACAGTGCTGTCCAAAATATGTAATTCCACTGGCATTGACTTGACGTGTCGACGTTCACGCCTATTGCTTTCCTTTCTTTCTTTCTATTTCTATTTGTTTTCATTATGGAGAAAGGTAATAGACACGGACATCTATATGTGTCAAGCTATCGGTCAAGCCAATGTCCACGATTACAAATCTTGAGACAGCTATTCCACGTGAACGGGGAGAGGAGAAAAGCGCCGTGTCGCGCTTACTTCAGGCGAGACGGCGACGACGGTCAGATGGTACAGTGAACATGGTAGTGAATACGTGTGACCCGCGTGCAACTTCAGGACGGATAAGCGGTCGTCCGTCATTTACGAGAAACTTTTGAGGACGTTTCTCTTGGGCGAGCGCTCGCCCAAGCGATCATGCCACTCTGTCGCTTACCTGCGATCGGTGACAGGATGGTCTAGTATTGAAATCTTGGACACGACGATCGCCTTCTTCTCCTCCTCCTCTTCCCCGCGTTCTGCCACTGCGAAATCCACCGGAATGTAGCCGCTAGTTGATCGACTGCGCGTCTTGTTTCACGAAATCTGTTCATGGGAGAGAAACAGAAGGCTGGAGCGATGACACTGAATAGCAAATACACACGCGAGTGCAGATTGCGTTCCGTCGCGATCCATATAGGAGTCTATTTTTCGCGGAGATCGGTAATCTCGACGGCGAAGCTGTCCGCATACACGGCCATTTTCAACCTACTGCTCACCAATCACCATTACGTTTGCAGGACCGCACTCACGCATGCACGCACGCACGTAATACACGCAACCACGAGAGAGCGAGTGCAAATCTCTCATGCGTACACGAGATCCGCTCCACCGCGTCTGGTCTACGTTCAGAAACTTTAGTAGATGCATCCATGAAATTATATATTCCAAATAGCGCTGATTGGTTGCTTCAATGAGGCTATTCCGCAGTCCTTTTTCGCACCGTGTGATTTCATCCTAAAGGCCTGCGCATAATAGAACAAATATTAGGAACAGGGAGCTTATTATGCGGGATCTACAATAGAAGTTGTAGCGGTCGTAGAGTCTTAAGTCGTAGAAAATTGACCAATCACAGTCGAATATGAGAAGAATAATCAACTGTGATTGATCAATTTTCTACGACTTAATGCGGGGTCTACAATAAAAGTCGTAGCAGTCGTAGGGTCTTAAGTCGTAGAAAATTGACCAATCACAGTCGAATATGAAAAGAATAATCAACTGTGATTGGTCAATTTTCTACGACTTAAGACCCTACGACTGCTATGACTTCTATTGTAGACCCCGCATTAAGTCGTAGAAAATTGACCAATCACAGTTGATTATTCTTCTCATATTCGACTGTGATTGGTCAATTTTCTACGACTTAAGACCTACGACTGCTATGACTTCTATTGTAGACCCCGCATTACGGTTTTTGTGACGAAGTGAAAATTACAAAAATGATCAAATTCACTAGAAGTTAACCAATGAAGTTATAAATATACTAGTAAATTCAATCACTTTTGTAATTTTCACTTCGTCACAAGGAAACATAATAAGCCCCCTGGGGTTACGGTTCACTTGATGCTACAAATGCTTCGAAGCATTTTTTGATTGGTCAATTAGTAAAATTCTTTCTTCCGATTGGTCAATCAAACGCTTCGAAGCACCAAGTGGATCGCACCCAGGAATAAATATTAAGATTTCAACCTATTAGAAACCGTTTATTCTGGTGTAACTAGTATCTGGTAGGTTGAAATCTTAATATTTATTCCTGTTTCTAATATTTGTTCTATTATGCGCAAGCCCCAAAAGATTTCAACCTATCAAAAAACGTTATTCTATTACACATGGTTTCTGATAGGCTGAATTTGTTATTTCCTATTTCTATTGCCTGAGCTTTTCAATTGGTGCATTCAGTACTATGGCCGGTATTCATAGTCAGTTCTTATATTCAAGATCGTCTTAAGTTCAGCCTTGAGTGGTCATAGGCCGGTATTCATAGTCGGTTCTTATTTCAAAACCATTTTAAGTAATGTCTTAAGATGCTAATACAGCCCTCTGGCCGGTATTCATAGTAAGTATTCGTCTTAAGTTCAGCCTTGAGGTGTCATGAACCAATCAGAAAGCCGCGTTAGCGTATTAAGATATTACTTAAGATGGTTTTGAAATAAGAACCGACTATGAATACCGGCCTCTGATTGGTTCGTGACATCTTAAGACTGAACTTAAGACGGTCTTGAATATAAGAACTGACTATGAATACCAGCCAGTGAGCGGTCATAGTATCGAATGCACTCAATGGCTGCGTTCAGCAGAACGTTTATTTTGCAACTGTTGGAAGTTTCCTTCGCGCTAATTGGATGATACTTTTAGATCTAGAAGAATAGTCCTATCTCAGCAGACAATGGCTGCGTTCAGCAGAACGGTTGTTTTGCAACTGTTGGAAGTTTCCTTCGCGCTAATTGGATGATACTTTTAGATCTAGAAGAATAGTCCTATCTCAGCAGACAATGGGCGCATTCAGCAGACTCAACAGTTGAGTGAGCGCTCGCTACTATTGGTGTATTCTTCTAGATCTAAAATTCTGATTGGATGAGTTAAAAGAATACACCAATAACATCGAGCGCTCACTCAATTGTTGTGTCCGCTGAATGCGCCCAATGGCTGCGTTCAGCAGAACGGTTGTTTTGCAACTGTTGGAAGTTTCCTTCGCGCTAATTGGATCATACTTTTAGATCTAGAAGAATGGTCCTATCTCAGCAGACAATCATAAAACGGTTGCAAAACTGTTGAGTCTGCTGAACGCAGCCAGTCATAAAACGGTTGCAAAACTGTTGAGTCTGCTGAACGCAGCCAATGGTTGCGTTCAGCAGAAAAAGCAGTTTTGCAACTGTTGTAAAATTCTTTAATATGATTGGTCTTGCCCTTAGTTCCTCATTGGATCTAAAAGTATAAACCAATCATATTCAAGAATTTTACAACAGTTGCAAAGCTGTTTTTTTCTACTGAACGCAGCCATTGGGTGCATCTAGAAGCTCAGAGCGCTCAGTGAGCTCTTGCATCTGATTGGCGTATTCCATTAGAGCTAAAAATATAGATCAAACAAATACTGAACGCTCATTGTTGAGTCCGCTGAATGCGCCCAATCCCACCCAAGTGCCACTCAGGTATCACTCCATCCTTGTTACTTACCGAACGTTAAACAAGGATGACATGACACCCGAGAAAACATTCGAGATTTGTCGCGTCGCATGCTCCAACATGTTCCAATATGCTCCTATCATAGTTCTTACTCACTCCAACGCGCTTGATAGAGTGAGTAGGAGCTATGATGGAGCATGTTGGAGCTTGCGACGCGAACAAACCTCAACAAACCTTCGGTAACCCAAGGGGAATCCGAACACGCCTTTAAAAAAAGACAGTACTAATTCTAACCCTAAAAAAGAAAAAGCATAATCAGTTTTACATACATCGAACGGTACGTGACATGACAATTGATTTATATCGATTAGAAGTTACGTAAAATTTTTTCGAATAAACTAACGTAACTACTTGTTCTACTATGGTTCTATCCCGAGATCATCCCCGTTTAAAAGGAGGTGTTTTTAGGTTATCTGTTAATTGTCAAATTACAGTCAGTTATAAGATCTTAAAAAATTCTATTATAATAATCATGAGCTACGAGCCAATATGATATATTTGTTACAAAGTTTAAAATAATATATTATAACGCATGTTTATGTTTGCGCTTGATGAAGTAGTTATAATGATAAAACGAATCAAACGATAAAAATTCACATCATAACATAATACAAAAATTCAAAACAAAAATTAAACGTCGAAAATTCAGTTAGTAACAATGTTCATAATTATACACAAAACGTTTCAACCTATCATGAGGTCATCTTCAAGTTGTTAAAATAATATCCGGGATATAATATCTTTAATATATAAAAGAATAAAAATTATTATACGTGTATGTAACCTTGGCAGACAACATAACCACAGTAATATTGAGCGAACTTTTCCAAATCATGATTAGTACTAAGTGCAATCAAATTCAAGGAAATACATCAAATTACGATCTTAATATTTTCTCGGCATTTCATTATGTAATATTAAATGTGTCTTACAAGATATAATGTGTGCACAAGATATAATCATTTATTTTTTATTTACAGCATAGCGATAACATGGCCAAAGAGCGTGGCGTCTTGAAAATGATTTGGAACGGTTTTATATCCTCGCTGAAACCTCGCTTCGCCAGCCGCAAATTGATTGGCGAGGATTATTATGGCACAAAGTATTACGAGGAAGATATTCGTAATTCTGCCCGGAAAAGGCCGCCGCGATATTTTGTTCCAGTAAACAAAGAAGACTTCCAGCAAGAATTACCCGCGGAATGGGAGGCCTGGTTGCGATACCGCAGAAAAGAGCCACCCACGCGAGAGGAAATAGAAGCTAATTACCAATTGGCAATAACCAAGAAGGAAAATGCAGCAAAACTTTTAGAGAATCGTTCAAAAAATGACAATACTACTAATCTTCCCGCATCATCCACTCAGGCAGCTACTCCAGGAAATTTTCCGGTTTATGAAGATATGAAAGGTTTTGGTAGTGATTATAAACCAAAAGACTCATACAAATAGATAAAAGAAACTATATAACATCTATATAAACGAAATATATAATATTTTTAGTGCAAAGTAACAATTACCTTCTGTTTGCAATAAAGAATTTGATGAAATTTCTAAATAGTTGTAAAGAAAATGTTCAGCAAAAGTTGTTTTCTAACATTGATAATAGGAAATTTATTGCAGAATTCTATCTGAAAATTTGTTTTTTTTTGTTAAACGAGTTGGGCAATTTAGAGCTGCGAATAGTTTTTTATGTATAATATGTATAACATGCGATATTATATGTATTAGGTGTTGAACTTAATTCCTGCCGCTCGCTACTAGAGAGTGCTGGCTCCAACGCTAGCGAGTTTCGACGATGAAGTCATGTCTTTTGTAGTTTAGACATCGCTGAAAGTGATTCAATCCTCACAGGTTAGATTTCTCGACGCCAAAGAGATTTTCCAATCGATTGAAAATGATCATCCGTAGCCAACAATCGACGCAGTCATTTTGCACGATAACGCTCGACCGCATGTCGCGAAAAGCGTGAAGCAGACACTTCTAGAGCTTGAATGGGAAGTTTTCCTGCATCCAGCGTACTCTCCAGACTTGGCACTGTCGGATTACCATCTCTTTCGATCGATGCAACACGCACTTATGGACACACACTTCTCCAGTTACAACAAAGTCCAAAAATGGGTGGATGAATATCGCCTCGAAAGACACCGCGTTTTACCGTCGTGGGATTGCCCTGTTGCCAGAGAGATGGGAAAAAGTAGTAGAAAATGGAGGAAATTACTTTGATTAAGGTATTCATCTTCCCTTCGAAACAAATCAGTTTGGGAGACGAAAAACGGCAGGAATTATTAATATAAATTCAACACCTAATATAATATGTTAGGTTTAATACATGCTCAAACCTGAATTGGACTATATCAGAGAGAAACCTGGGAGCAGCTATCCCCATGCAGCTTTTTTCATGAAATGTTTGAAAAAGTGCCCTGTATATCAGCACATCAACATCCATTTTTAGTAATATGGAAATTGGAATTAGGTACCACATTTATTTTGCCAAACTGTCGATAAAATTATAGTATTGAATATGGATGTGGCCTAGTTTCCATCAAGGGTTCGAATCGGGTCAGAATGCAAGAACCAACCAACTACAGTCGAGCATTCCCCTGTTACAGTCGAATTATAGGGGAATGCTCGATTGTAGTTGGTTGGTTCTTGCATTCTGACCTATTTCTAACCCTTGGTGGAAACTAGGCCAATGATCCAGATACACAGTGGTGTGCTAATTAAGAGAACATAATATAGTGTGTCTAATGGGTCATTCGGCGAACTCAACATCTAAGTTACCACTCACTGTTATTGGTGTTCAGACTTTTAGATCTAGAATACATTAATAGCGAGCGCTCACTTAACTGTTGAATCCGCTGAATGTGCTCAATCATAATTCTGCTTTCTTTTCCATTGTGATTGGTCGTACTATTCTGTTCAAATTTGTAATTAGTATGATAAAAATATAACAAAAATTCCGAAATTACAAATTTATTTTTTTTATGGAAAAACATTTCTAAAAACATCCTATTTTTTAAACTTTAAAACAAATATCCCCTTAAAAATATCCAGGATTTATGAAATTCAAGACTAGAATGATTAAAATTAATTGAATTGTTAGGATACTAAATCGTTAAGCTGTATGTGAGTCACTATATATGTAAAATGATTTATTATTAATGTCTATCTTTTTCTATACATGTAAATTAAGATCTATCGCTTTCATATACAATCATTCTCGACAAAATTATAACAAAGGTACTATATATTGGATAGATGTACGAAATATTAATGTTTCAAGATACTATGACCCAGTTTGCAATTGCGGTCCGTGATATGAAACTAATGACGTACGAAATAGGGTATAAAGATCCGTTTTACATGGGGGAGGGGGAAAAATTAAATGAATAACATTCTAAATCAACATTTGATAAATTTGAATCGCTTTCTGTTTGCGCTGTGCAGTTCCTACACTTAGCGTTTGGATCACTACAAATTGGTGATTAGAGCCGTGAATCGCGTGCACTTTTGACTTCTTGACTTCAACACGTGACTCTAAGATTTCATTATAAATAGTAGCTTAAACAATGAAGATCAAGCTATCAGTCAACATTAAATTTTGTCTCTTACACGAATTTAATTGACAAAAACTTAATATATATCAAATGAGAACAGTTTGCATCAACCAGAAAAATCACTATTATCAAATAGAGCTTGATCATATAGCTCTCCTTTAACCAGTCGTCCGCCGAAATAACGACCGTTTAGTGAATCTCTTGCACGTTCTGCTTCTGAAAATATAAAAATTAATCCAATAATTACATGATACACAAATTAATATGTACAGGATATAATTACAGTATAATTTAGACTGTTTCACATACTCGGACGAGAGTATGATCAATTTGGGACACTATATATATATATATATATAAGGTAAATGTATCAATAACTAAATGTGCCCATTACAAGTATAATGTTAATTGAAAAATTAACAATATTTATAATTTTTAAGATATCAATAATAGCAAGAAAATAAAACTAAAAAGAGGTTAAATATTTTGTATCAAAATAGTTAAAAAAATATATTTTCTGACTGCAAATTATTGCAAAAAAATTTTATATTTCGCAGGAACAGTCATTTTCACTCTCTTCTTATCATTTTGAGTAAGATATAGTTTACATTTTCAAATTTTTTAATATTGTACTATATAAGAATATCAGTCTAAGGCTTGGTCACTAAATGGAAAGCATTTAATATTGAGTGAATTGGCGTACATTGGCCATGTCGTTTGGAACTGCCTTATCGACATATATACCACTTATTGCATATAATTGTTATAGATAAAAATATAAAAGAAACGTTGCTTCATAATGCAAAGACAATTGTATATATGCCGTAATTTGCTACAGTCAAATAGTGTAACTGTGTAATACGTAAGCGGACCACAAAGTATGTTAATTCCTTTTGTAATACCACTAATATTATCAATACAAATATAGGATTGATCACTAGTCTTTATTAGTTCAGCCATTGAGATATTTATCATCGAGACATAAAGATATACTTTACCATTCATTTCAGCGAATTCGACGAATATCTTTACGATTACTTCCGCGTTTTCGTCGTCCTCGGACTGTCTCTCTTTATAAATAATAACTCGTACAACCACACCGAACTTAGAGCACTCGTCCTGAATTTCCTCCTGTAGGGTCTCGTCCACATCCTCTGGTGCTACCATATTTCTTAAAATAACGACTCGGGATTCGACTTTACGCATAAGCTTTTGCATTACGAGATGACGCGCGCTCTGGCCCTTGATTGACATATTCTCTTGCTGCTGCAACGTCTGCGGTTCCGTTTCTTCTAAGAGTTTCTTCTGTAATTCTTCCTGTTGTTTTTGATGAGCCGCTTGTTCCTGCGCTCGCCTCATAATGTCGGAATTTGCGGTGGTTGTAACTGGTATCTAACAAGCAATCAGATTTTTCAATATTTTCTTTATTTTGATACTTTTTATTCTAATACATTGGATACTTACAACTGGCGTGCCGACAATCGTAGGCGCGACAACAGCGGGAGGTGGTATGACAACCGGTTGGCCAGGAATCGGTTGGATAATAGCGGGCGGTCGCGTTAAGGTTTGCGGTATGGCTATGCCAGGTGGAGGTATCACTGGTGCTACCGTTGCTACCGTTGGTGGTGCCATTATTGTTGCAGACGCTATAGTAGGTCGTACTACACCTACAGGAAGTGCTATAATAGAAATAATGATAAACACATAAAAGTAACTTTTTTTTTGCAATGTTTGGATTCAGTGCAGATGCAAGAATTACGAATTTACGAACTTTGATTCAGGATTGGTGGTGCAGTAGCTCCAAGTTTAGTGAGACCTAACGCGACGGCATTACTGGCAACTGCATCCATTGCTTGAATTTTTGCTGTTGCAGCTGCTGCAGCCACCGCGGCTGCGGTTGGCATCATACTGGTACCACTAGGTGGTCCCATGAGCGCGTTCGGTGGTGTTATAGCTCTGCCTACTCTCAGATACTGGCCACCCAAATCGAACAAGTTCATGGAGGCGATAGCTTCCAAAGCAGCCTGCATTGTCTCATACTCGATGAAGCCATAACCCTTATGTCGATGTGGAGAACTGCCTTGTGCAAGTTTGCAATACGTGATTGGCCCGAATGCCTCGAAAACTGACTTGATGTCATCTTCTGTCAGATCTTGATGTATCGATGCGATATAAATGCGATTATAATGTTTACTTTCCTCGGTGATCTCGTCAATCACCGATTGTGCTTGTGGCATGTTGGATGGACGTCCTACGACCTGAGGTAAATATGAGAAAAAAGATAATTTATAAGATATATTTTCTAACATTGCGTTAATATTATTGTAAAAATTATTTGTTAAATAAATATATCGCCACTTACTTCAAAAGTGACAACTAAAAAAGCATGATTTTCGAGTTATTAACATAATTGAGTTAGTTTACTTTTGATTGACATTACTCTGTCAATCGAAAGTAAATTAATTCAATTTCATAACAAATCATTACAACTCAGTGTTTTTTTTTATAAATTATCAAAATCGTCACAATTCTAAAAGAACAATTTTTTAAATGATATTTCATCACATGTTAAGAATATTTTTTATCGATATTATTTGATTAATCAATAATTTTTTGTAAAGTTAAAAAATAATTTTTCCTCTTTTTTGAGAAATTTAATTTTTTGAATTGTGTCGTTTTTGGAGTAAGGAAGCGACATAACATATAGAACATGTGTAATGGGATGTAACTTAATAAACAAATGAAAAACTCAAAGTAATGTATACGTAGCAAAAGTATACTAATGAAATAAGATTTTCAAGCAAATTGCAGTTAAGATGCAGTTCGCTCGAAAATCATTGGTATTGGATAAAGGACTAAATAAAAATTTGCCGACCTCCGGCGGGATGATAGGATTGCTGGGGGACAGGAAATTCGTTATATAGGTACGTCCTGCTACCTTGATGTTGCGGCCACCGATCATGACACCGTTCATTTGCTCCAAAGCAAGTTGCGCGGCTTCGGGTATCTCGTATTCAACAAAGGCGAAGCCCTTGTGTTTCTGCGTAACGGGATCCCAAGACATATTGATGGACTTGATTGGTCCGAATGGCAAGAAAGCTTGCCTGATTGTATCTTCTTTCAATTCAAAACTGATGCTGCCCACATAAACCCTGTCATACAATTATAGATGTTATTAATATTAATGTTATTTAATGTAACTATACTTAATATAATGTACGTAACTATTTTCTTGCTAACAATATATATAACTTTAGTTAAACTTCTACATCAATCACTTGTATTAGAATTGTCATGTGTGCATTTAAAATTTTTAACCTTTCATCACCAAGAATCTATGGAATTCCAAAAAAATGCTTTATATTTAAAAAAAAAAATCATTTTTATAAAGAAATACTCTTTTATACAATAACTTCACACTTCGTTATTTTAAAAAACGGTCTCCTTTAGAATAAATACTTTTTTTGAGGAAGAGGGGGGGGGACGCGGACTATTGAACCATTTTTTCCCTAAAAGTGTCATATCTGTGGAGTATAGCCATTTTTATCAAAAAATATTAAACACTAAAAAAGTTATGATTTTGTTTTTAGTATAAAAGCGCATTTTTCAAGTTTTATTTTGCGATTTTTTTAATATGTCAAAATTAAAATCTTTAAAAAGCCACTGCATTTTCATGTTCTATAATGTTTAAAAAATGTTCAATAATTTTTTAAAGAATAAAAGCTGTAAATACGGCAATTAATTAAAAGTATTAGGGTCATTTTGCCTTCTATGTGACCAACACAAAATTCTCAGAAGATGTGATCACGAAGAGTTAAAAGCATATTTAATTTAGATTAACATTATTAATACACATATCTAGAATATTAAAATATGTTTATTCAATTGTTAACATAACAATTATGCAATAATGACATTAATAACCAATATCAGTAGAACCAATACGTTCAAAGATTGTCTCTCTCTCTCTCTCTCTCTCTCTCTCTCTCACACACACACACACGCACGCACGCACACTAATAATTTTATAAAATCTATAAAAAATATGTACATATATATTGTATATAGAAATAAAATTCTGCAAGTGATTGATAAAAATGACACTTATTTAATTCATCTAATATAAAAATATATTATTTTTATAGTGTGAAGAAAACAAAATAAAAATCTTCGTTAAATCATAGCTTGATTTAATTAATTTAATATATTACTACTAATACATCATTTTATTAATAAATTATACGAGTGTTATCTATGACTGCGAGACAAAGAGATTATTACTAAACTAACAGAAATATGATGATTAATATATGAACGATATATATGAAGGATAATGACAATGTTTGCTCCAGGATACCTGACGATTATGAGTAATATTAAAAGCTACAAGAAATTTCTGTAATTTGTTAGTATGATTAGAAAACGTATCAATATATTCTTTTATATTTATTATAAAAACACAAAAATACTTATAACTATATATATATATATATATAACTCTTGAGGGTCTTGCACATGAAAATTTCGAAGATTAAAACAAAGAACAAACAAACCTGCACATGAGAGCGAGAGCCTGCTGTCTTTGCACCTGATTCCGTTGACTAGCCATTTGCTGCAACACAAAGGACCAAAGGCCTTCTATTGATATCCCTCCCCCATTTACAACACATTTCATTGACTTCAAGTGTCCCTCAAGCTCTTTTACCATTTCTTTGCTCGACTTTTTCAATTATCAATTTAAATTTTAATTTAGTCTTAATTTAAATTTTATTGGTATTATATTTAATGCTACAAAAACATCTAAATAAATTAAGATATATTTTAAGAAAATATTTTATATGAATATTTTTACTCAAAATAATAATTTAAAATTGTAATGTAGCATAAATTATTATAGTACTTTTCGCAAACAAATTGTAAGTATAAAAATTTATGTAATTTATAAAATTTATAAGACGCAAATTTCACGATTTGTATAGAATGTTTCAGAATAATTACTCTCTTTTTATTTGCTGCATTTCTTAATAAATATAATAGCTTTTATGCTAATCTTATTTTTTGAAGCAGAAAAACAATCGAGCTCAGAAGAGTCGTTGTCCTCTGAAGATTCATGCATTCACAAAAACTTATCCTTCTTCGCATTGTACAGCTCTGCTCCCGCCGACTATACTATCACAAATTATATATCTAACCTTTTCTTATGGTAGCTCGGGAAAATGTTTAGGAGTGTTCATAAGGCGGATTTATCGTTTCTTTCTTGATTTGGTTGACACTAACCTGCACATTAGCAATAAAACTTGCTGCCGCAGGACCAACTTATTCTTCTGCGGGGAGAAAAAAATGCGCCAATCAGATTTAAATTCTAACGTTTCTTTTTTTTTTTTTCTTAATATCTGTATAGTAACTGACTCGGCGGGACGAGCTATATATCAAATATTTCAGAGTTCTATACTAATCTAATATTATTTAATATTATTCTATACATTGCAATAATCGGTAAAGAGCTGAATAGAGGAAACTATTTATACATATATATAAACAAAATATATTTAAATCAAATTTCACATATGTTAAATTACCGAATTGGCTGATCAGCTTATTTTAGCATTACAAAAAGTTATACAGTATTCAAGAAAGGATTCCACACCATTCTTATGAGAAGGTGTCTTTCTGCGGATTTGATAATTTTTGGATATGTTGTAGTTGATGTCATTCTGAACAAATGTCTCAATGGGTACAACTTGATCCCATGAATCGTTTCCGTTCTACAAATATTAGAAGATCCAGATTTAACACGCACATATGTACGTACGCATATTTGATCGAGAATCATATATACCGAGTCAAAAAGCCTATATTTACATGTTAAATCTGCACCTTCCAAGGCTTGTAGCATGGAAGCGGCTTATAGGATCAAGTTGTGCTATTGAAACGTTTATTCAGAATGACGAGAACTATAATATATCCAAAAATTAGTCAAATCCACAGAAAGATACTTTCCCGAACAACGATGTGGAGTTCATTATGAAAGATGGGAAGATTAATTTACGAATGTAATATTTCAGTAGATAAAGTTTAATAATTTTACCATAAATTCTGATCACTTGTTCGTAATAAGCAAATTCGGCAATTATTGTTGTATATATAATATATATATATACACATATATACATATCTATATGTATATATGTACATATATATACATATCCATTATGCATTCTTATAATTAAAGAAATAAAAATGTTTATGACAGTTGAATTAATAATTATACATTAAATAAAATTGTCTACGAAAAGCATAACATCATATAATATTAACATTCACAAATGACATAATGGAGCGAAAATATTAAATGTGTGAGTAAAGTTATTGACAATTTAAAAATTACCTGTTGTTGATGAGCCAAGGTCTGCTTCATGAGGACCATCTTAATGCTTTGCTCCATCGCATACTTCTTCGCCCTGTTCACAGTGTCTTGTTGCTCGGATGAAATTTTCGGTAGACCAGCTCCTAATATTCCAGGCAGTGTCAGATATTTAGCGCCAGGTCCTACAAAATCATAAAATAGAAAAAGGTGTAAGTCAGACTGATTTAATGATACTTCAAGGCGATAAAGAACATTTATTCACATCAGATCTTATCAGCAAACGTCCATTAATTTGCGTCAATGCTCAATATTACTTAAATTGAACTGACTTAAAAAATAATATGTCACTATAAATATTCTACATCATTTTTTTAAGATGAATTGAATCAAATTAATAAAAAGATTCAAATGTAAAGTAAAAAAATGTATAACGTTATACATACCAGCAACAACTTGACCTATTTGATTGAGATCATAAATAGGGCCTGGTAAGAACTCTGAAGCATTTCCTATAAAGAAATCATGCATTAGATAACTAGCATTAAAGTAGATAAATATTAAGAATATGTCAAACGTTTCACTTTTTAATAAAACCAGTTACGCCACCAAGTTATTTCTTAATGATTCAATCATTGATGGATCAGGGATTACTTTCTCATTGGCAAATTTGGGTGGCCATTATTTCATATTTTTAGAATTCAATTAATGAGAAAATTTTTTTGATATATTTAAATTGACATTTAAAATAACTGCTGTCTCAGGAATCAGACGTTTGTTTTAACCAATTTTTTGGGGGAAAACATCTATATATGTACAGATCCGTACACGGAGATGTGTAACAGCCGGATGACCTATTGCCCTAGGCTAGTAAAACTTCTATTAGTCGCATTGATGTATGCGGGCGCATTATTCTTATTCGTATTGTGGAATATCTTTCTTAACACGAGAGTACCGTGACGCCATGCCAGCTGCTATGATAAAATCGTCCTCCAAACTGTAAGTTCACAGAAATTAAAACGATCAAGGAATATTACAACTTTTTTAATAAATATGGTTGTATATGTATGTGTCAATGTGTGCATGTGGAAGTATTTATAACGCATGTATGGAAAATGTATATATGAAAACCATATATTTGTGCAAACATCGAAACGAAGAAATATTTCTCGTTTGATGCATGCTATTGGAAGAAACAAAGCGTAGATTATACGAAGACCACAGGTAAGAAATTTTGTCAGAAATGATACGACTTATAAGAGAAAATGGACCGAACGTTAATCGTATGTATGAAAACTTTGGTAAAATTAGTCATTAGCCGAGGAGTCTTATTAAATTTGAGCTTTAATTACTGTTTGCACAATCAGCCCCAAAAATCAGACTAGTCATAATTAGATTAGGTTTCATAACCAATTTGGTCTGCTAGTCTCTGAAACAGAAATCAGAAACAGAAAAACAGAAGTCAGTTCGACTTTTCATGAATTAAAAGGCTCTTAAAAAGTTTTGTGCGATCATTCGATTTACAGCTAACCGTGTTCTGGGCTGAGCAATGACGGTTGTGCGCAAATTATCCGAGATTGAGGCGACGCACAAATCTGTAAGCACAAAGCAAAGGAGAATACTCTCAGTGCATTTCCTGCGCCATATTCTTAGTCTTTGCCTTCTCCAACCTACCACTTTTCAACCTAACAATTTTCACGTAGCAATGGCGAGAAATCGTTAATGCAAATACGTGAAATTCTTTTTTTTTCCTACGATTTAATATTCAGAACGCGATTACACGCGATTCTCGGTTTAACGTCACACAATACTAAATCGTATTAACGGTCAATTTTTTTTCATTTACATCGCCTACGTGCACACTCGGACATCGTTATAACATGTCTCGAAATAGCGCGTATCCTCGCTTAGCGATGGTAGAATAAAATGCGAAGACAAAAGTGTGACGGGAATGGATACCATGTTCTCATCGGGTCATATTTAAGTGGAATTTAATTACACAATCTCTAAGCCACATCCATGGCTATATCGACGTCCAAGTGTTTGGGACTTATCGACTTCATTATTACCTAATGCAAATATATAAAATATGATACATAGATATATGACAAATTTAATGTACACCTTTCGCCATTGCCACTCCCGATTACGAGCCTCTAAATAATACTTGCAAGTAGAGATATTACTGTTTTCATAGTAATAACTCTACAAGAGTCATATACATAAAAAAATGTATTATGTCCATTTTTTTATCAATATAGATTAACTTTAATCTCGGTTTAACTTTTATCTGTTTTCAGTTATCAAGAATTAGAAAAAAGTAAAGAGAGTAAATTAAACCAAGATTAAAGTTAATCTGCATTGGTAGAAATGTGAATATTAACCGATATTATGCTGACAATAATAATAAAGAGAAATACTTTATATATAATTTATAACGGTGGAATATTAAAGTGGCGTCTTCAAAAGAGGCTCATAATCAGGAATAGAGAAACTCTAAGCCCTAAAATGCTGACCTATCTAAAGTATGCATCGTACTCGGCAATAGATACGGTAGTGGGAGTTTGTTAAACTCTGATTTGTACTGTTCAACGAATGTAGTCTTTCTTTGTTTGGCGCACGTTCGTGATCACCGCTCAGTCGTAGGCCACGGATTCTGTACTGTCTCTCCGCTGTAACATCTCAGAACAGAAGGACAACCATACATTAGTGTGATTTAAGCGCCATACAGTCATCATCTATTTACCCTAGCCTACCGAAAATTTATGCTCAAAACTGCTTCGGAATAGACGCATTCTGCAGTTTTATAGAGTATGGCAGCATTTTTTAAAAAAGAGAAAACTAGCACCTGAGTGTCCTAAGTAGAGCTATTGTATTTCCGCATCATGTTCTCGCTCTTAATACACATATTACACTTGCTGTCGTTTCTCTGTTTGCGTTTCCCACTAACAAAGTTATGTATATAATATCATAGTTATCACAGGCATAACGGTTATCTGGTTGCCTTAGCAATTTACCTTCGACTTTGGTCTTCTTCACCGGTGGTTCTGCACTGTTTTGCGACGTTGGTGCCTGCAAACGAAAATAAATTCAATATAATATAAAGTAAAATCAACGAGTTTATTTATATCAAATTCTATGAAGTTCGTTGCCTAATATTTTCAACAAATAAAATGTTAATTGTGTGTTAGCAGTTTGTCAGTGAATTTTAATAGCATATCATAGCGTTGGCATCACCTGTGTCCATATTAAACTCATGTTTTGTCACACATAATGATAGCAGATAATTAGGTCTGTGCTGGGCACATATTTGAAATACTTTTATTTGAAAAACAGTATTTGTAAGACAATTGTATTTTGTATTTCAGCGAAACACATGAAAATAGTTTATATTTTCTATTTCATGGGAGCATATAAATGTATTTTGTATTTCAGTATTAATACAAAAGATTGAAATTATTTGATATTTCAAACACTAAGATTGACAATCAATCTTATTATTTGAATTATAAAATACCAAAAACTTTCAATCTTTCGATTTTAAATATAAAATATGTAATACTTTCATGTATTCCGCTGAAATATAAAATACAGCATATACTCCTATTGCAAATACTGTTTTAATTTGAAAATAAATTCGAATTAAAACTTCATTCTGCAGAAAGTTGTAAATCTATGTAGAATCTCATTTTGTTAAAGTGTATGTATTAATACAGTGGGTTCTCTACAAGGGAGGGCTCCACTATAAAAAAATTATACACATAGGGACTTTCTATCTTAATGCTACAAATACTTCGTTGACCAATCTCAGAAGAAAGAATTTTATGAATTGACTAATCAAATTACTTATCAATTGTCGACTGTGTCACGTCTTGTTAGATTGATATTATATTTGTCATATGACAAATTTTTTTAGTTTGTTAATTGATTGGAAGTTAAAGAAGCTTTCCATTTAGGGTCACTTTAACAAACGTAATCGATCGATTAGTCCATTGAAATTAACCAATTGCATCTGCCGTTAAATGAAATGACAAATGTGATTGGTCAATTCCAATGGATTAATTGGCTGATTACGTTTGTTAAGTCCGGATCTACAATAGGGTTTTAAGCCTTAAGCCATAAGAAATGGATGAATCACAGTCGATTATTCTCCTTGGATTCGACTTGGAATTGATCAATTTCTTACGGCTTAAGGCTTAAAACACCTATTGTAGATCCGGATTTAGACCTGGTTGCACCAACGTAAAATTAACAATCTCAGTTTAGTCTTTGTTTTTCAAATTTTAAGAATTAGAAAAAGATAAACAGTAAGTTAAACCAACATTAAAGTTAAGATCCGGTTCTATCAATGTAAGAGAAAATAATAGAATTGTAATTTTGTACAATGTCTATTATTTTCTAATTTTCAAAATTAGAAAAAGTATAAACTGAATTTAAATTATATACAATTAATCTTACATTGATGGAATCGGACCTTATGCCTGTTTCTATTAATATAAATTAATTTTAATATTGATATAACTTACTTCTTATCTTTTTTAGTTCTAAAAATTAGAAATGGATAAAGAGTAAATTAAATCGAAAAAACAATTAAGCTACATTGATAGAAATGTAAATTAGTGACACGAACATTATTCTATCTCCATCTCTGTCCTGCAGTCAATTAACAGGCTTGAAAAATATGTCGTACGACACATGTAACATCAGTCCAAGATATCAAACCTGTCGATGATTGGTAAACCGTGTAAAGTTACGTAGACATCTGCGATCGCCATTGAATCGCCAAAGGGTTAGTTACATCCGTCATTGGCGGACGAAGGGCGGCGATCGCCACGAAGAAGGGAAAGCTTACCATGGCCATCGTTCCATTCATCATTCCACGAGAGCCGTTCCTGGGCGGACGTGGGTGGCCTAGGATTAGGATCTGTCGAAAATTCCTGGACGAAACCACGAAACACGCGACGAGTTGTTCACACCGCAGCACGATGCACTTCTTCTTCGCGGAAGTACCGCGCGCCGGAAGCCGCGCCACGCTAACTTCCCCGTTCACCCCATTGAGCTTTCATCGGAAACACCGTGAGATCGAGTAAAAAAATTTGTATTTATTATATTTCTCCGAATGTTTATTTAGCGCAATTTAGCACACGTTGCCCGCACAAAATAACATGAATCAATAGGAAAGAGAAAGTCTCGCGGAAGCGAGTGATTTGATTCGAGCGGTGCGCAATCATATGCTGGATTCATACTGCATCCGATTTTC